TAATAAAACAGAGATCCCAGAAATAACTCCATGAATTTAGGGCCAACTGATTCTTGACACAGGTGTGTGAACACACATAGTGAGAAGAATAGTTTCCTCAAGAAATGGAGCTAGGAAAACTGGTTGTCTACAGGAAAAAAAAAATGAAACCTAACTGTTATCCAGCATTATACAGAAAAAACTGGCTAAAATGGATTAAAGATTTAAATGTAAGACTTGAAAGTAGAAAAATATGAAAAAACAGAAGAAATGTTTCACGACATTTGTGTGGACAGTCATTTTTTAAAAATAAGACCTCAGAAGTATAGGCAACAAACCCAAACATGGACAAGTGGAATTTGTCCATTTCTTTTGCAAAACAAAGAAAACAATAGTGAAGAGACAACCTACAGAGTAGGAAAAATATTTTCAAGTATATGTTTGATAAAGGATTAGTATACAGAATATATAAGGAACACCAATCAATAGTGAGTGAAACAGATAATCCAATTAAAAAGGTGAATTTTAAATACAAAGACATAGATGGTGAAAATCAAAGGATGGAAGACCATCAGCTAATAAGTGCAAGAAGAATGTTGTGGCTCCATTAATAGTATTTTAACTGAATTCAATGTAGAGAGAAATATTATTAGCAAAGGAAATATTTCATAGTGGTAGAGTCTGCTAATTCAGGAAGTGTAGCTGTCTTTAACATGTATACACCTGATAGCAGAACTTCAAAGGATATGTGTCAGTCTTGTTTTTCTCACTGGGACAAACTTAAGGGGAGCATATTTCTTTTGCCTCATGGTCCATGGGCATTCCGCTCCATTATTTCTGAGCTGTGGCAAAGCAGAACATCACGGAGGGGACTGTGAGCTAAAGCAGGACTGCTCACTGCAGAGAAGCCAGGGAGCAAAGAGAGAACTTGTTTTCATAACAAAACTTTCTCCCCAAACCCATGAAGTGATGAACCCATAAAGGGGCTCATCCATTCCTGAGTTCAGAGCCCTTGTGATCCAGTCACCTCTCCAAAGCCCACCAACTATCAATATGTAAGCTCTCCAGGTATATTTAAGATCCAAACCACAACAGTGTATGAAACAAAAATCAGGACCAAAAAAAAGAAATTCAAAATTATGGTTGGTAATTTGACACTTGATCAATCATGTAGTTAAAAATTATGTAAAGATTTAGAAGATTTGAACAACATTGTCAACTACATTCACCTGACACTTTATAGCATACCCTACCTAAGAATAAGAGAATACACATTTTTTTTTTCTAAACAATATGGAACAAGATAGATTACACATGGCACATAAAATGTATCTCAAGAAATTTCAGGTGACAAAAACTTCTTCGGTTTTTTATAGCATTCCAGCTATAAATTAGTTACAAATAAATACCAGTAAGATAACTAGGAAATCCTCAAAGAGTTGGAAATAAAAAATAATCTGTGGGTCAAAGGAGAAACTACCTGAAAATTTTACTTCTCTGCTCTTCCTCACCTCTTGAGATAAATATATAACTTCTCAATTTCATAATTTTCTTCTTCCTCTAATAGATGTATTTTCACTCTGAATTGCTTTAGTTATATTCCATATCTTGATATGTTATTGTATTTTAAATATCAACCAGTTCAAAGTATTTTCTAATTTCTATTTAAATTTATTTGACACAAGCTTTATTTGTAGTCTATATTAATTAGCAATTACATAGAATTTACTGTTCTGTCAATTCTGGTTTTATGTACTTTGGGCTATGTTATTAAATGTATAGAGATTTTGAATTGTGTCTCCTTAAAGATTTGAAACTTTCAGTATTACAACTGTACCCATCCTCTGTAATTTTTAAATATTAATCTAAATTTTATCAGTTTTTAATATGACTGTAACAGATTTAGTGATAACATGGCATTTTACTTCTTTCATATTTAGATGTAATTCTTGCAACAACACAGAGTTCATTTATTTTAAAAATTCATTTGTGTTTATGTGCCTTATTACATTTTCAGTTTAATTTTCCCAAATGCTTTCTATTTTGACTTTTTTGACGTTTCATTTTTCTTGCTTGCTTTGTGATCTTCCCTTTTAATTATAATTCCTTTGTGTGTTAGACTGCTTTAAACACTATTGTTTTGATATTTATATCAGAAATTACAGCATGAATCCCAACATTATCAAGCCACGTTTTTGGTAATCTTATTTCTAGATAATGTAAGGAACCCCTCCTGACAGGCTCTTGCTGTTGTGAATTTTGCCTATCTGAAATAAATAAAACATTTTCATCTGCAAGTCAGTATTCATTACATTTTTCTACATACTTAATCATCTACATACTTACTACTTTATTGCTGTTTTTTCTTTCAGTTTTGAGCATTCTTGAGATTATTTTTCTTAGTCTTTCTTTTTCTTTCTTTAAGGAGGTGTTTCTAGCAGCAAAATTTTTTCAGTTATGATTCATCATTTTCATTTTGGGAGGATATTTTAACCAGGTATGAAAGTCTGGTTTGGCAGGGGTTGCCCATCTGCATGTTGAAATTTTGATAACATTTTCTTTTCAATTCCACTGCATCTTTGTTGTAGGGCTTATCATTACTCCTTTGTAAGTTATCTGTCTCCCTTGTTCGTGGATTAGTTTCAGTGTTTTTTTCCTTTGTCTTTGGATTTCAGCATTTTATATCATGTGTGTACATAAGTTCTTATTTATCTTGCTTGGGCTTCACAGTGATTTAAATATATTGCACAATATCTTGTCTCATTCTAACAAGCTATCAGCCAATGTCTTTAAAAATATTATTTCTGTCCCCTTTGCTCTCAGATATTAATGGCACCAACCACAGGACCTTTCACTGTGCCTGCTGAGTTGCCTACTCTCCTATATTTTCTATATTTTCCCTTTTTTTTTGGCTTGAATCTATGCTTTTGCTCTATATATCATTTGACCAATTCTCTTTCATCACGAGATACCAATTCTCTTTCATTCAGCTGTGTTTATTCCACTATAAAAAGATCCATACCTTTCTCATTTTAGTTATTATAGCTTTTATTTAATTATTTTCAGGTTGTGCAGCTCTGGGATAAAAATGTTGATTTCCTTTGTGGTCTTTGAGAACATAGTGAGTGCACTTCTTTTAGAATATGGATTATCCAGAATCTGAAACCTCTAGGAATCTGGTTCTATTTCTCTCTTCTGCCCCCAACTTCTGGCTTTTGTTTATGTTGTTTCATTTCCTGAGTTTTGGGCTATTTTTCTCATGTCCCAGATTCCAATCCTTGTCCTCTATCTCTAAAAAGCTTCTGACTTTGCAGCTAATCCTTTCTACTCTCTTTCAGAATCCCAAGAACCCTGGGGGAAGAGACTTGTTAAATCTCTTTCACTTTCTGTTTTCTGTCTCATTAGCTCACTGATAACTTCAGACAGGTCTTTTTAAAGCATTTACACCTATTTTAGTCTTGTAGAAATATCAGAAAAAATGATTATTTTGCCTTAACTTACTTTCATATTGATAAAGGAGCTAATATTTTCTTCAGGTTTACATTGTTTTTTACCTTTTTGATATGAATTTATTTCTGTCAGTGAACTGGATGGCTTGGAATTTTCAATTCACGTCTAAGCTTTATTCTGAAAATAATGACACAGTGGACGTCCTGGTAGGGATCCTCTCAAACTTATGGTGCAGTTGGCTGGTGACTACTTTCAGACGTATTTGGCTTTTTGCTCATACAGTCATTAAATATCATAGGTATAACTGTGCTGATATTGTAATTATACTGATGCTATATACTTCCTTCCTTTCTCTCTCTCTCTCTCTCTCTCTCTCTCTCTCTTTCTTTCTTTCTCTTTTCCTTCCTCCCTCCCTCCCTCCCTCTTTCCTTCCTTTCCTCTTTTCTTTTATACTGAGGCTTGACTCTAGGGACTTCACACTGAGCTACATCCCCAGCCCTTTTTATTTTTCATTTTGTGACAGGGGCTCACTAAATTCTTGAGTGGCCCACCCTGGACTTGAACTTGTGACCCAATGAAGGTGTGCCAGCTGTGCCCCGCACACCCTCCCATTTCATAGAAGCGACGGTTGCTATTGCACAGCTTGAGGACTATACACCATTTCTTTTAGAACTACTCTTCTCTTATCCTCAATGATGACCTCTTCCAGGAAGCTTAATTTCAACAACACAACAGTCAGAAAAGAGGGATTGGGTATTGAAACTTCTTGTGTTGGTTCAGTCTTCACACAATTTAATCTTTCAGCCAATTTTCTTTAAGATACCTTGGTCAGCACAAACTACTAAAGGGAAACACAATCCTCAGGGTGTTAAGAAGAGACATTACAGGAACAAAGATGCCTAGGATGCGCAATTCAGTGCTATGGAGGGCTACATTTTTAATTTTTATACATTCAATCACCACATATTGTCACCCCTTCTGGAAGGTGGAACAAGCTAATTGAACCTAATTACAGAGTGACTGAAGCTAAGGATACCATGTGGGATAGCCTTGTTTAAAAACATCCTGGAGTTCAATGAGTAATTTCAAAAATCAATGGGTGTCAATTCCCAGAGTTACAAGTCACCACAGTTTACTCACACGTGGGCTTGATTTTCCTATGGCATGATTCATTTTCACAAGCAGAATGGTGTATTGATTTGGAAGTCATCCGTTAAGAGTGCTTTTCTCTGCTACCGAGTAGGTAAAAAGAGCAGCCATTCTCAGATGTGATAAGAACTCCCCAGATTTCCCTACATCTTAAAGAATACTATTCTGGAAACTGAATTGTCTGGAAAGTTGCTTCAATTCCAATACATGTTTAAATATGTAACCATAATTCATTCCATCTGTTTCACTGACAATTATCTCAGCATTGGATAATTATTGAGGAGAGCACTTTGAATTTTTGTTGCATGTATGGCAGAATGATTTTTGAGACACTAATTTTTTTCTCTTGGCTGGAAGAGCTCATCTTTATTCAGAACAGTTGGCCACCTTTAAGGTTTTTGTAACTCAGGAAGTGGTAAGCAGATTGCATAGCTAAGCAGGACCCAGGGTGAGAGCTCCCCATGAGGGCCTCAATTTATGGTTTGCTGGTGCAGGGAGGTTGGAGTTTATCAACTTTCCAAAGACTGAAACCTTAAACCAGCTCAGAAGATAGTGATGCATGAACCACAGGGCCAAATTGTTAATTGCAGGGGAGAACATTTACTTCCAGTGGTCTCAATGCATGTTTTTTTTTGTTTGTTTGTTTTTTAAGTGTCAATATCCTGCTTGCTCACTTGGCATGAAGAAAAACAGGTCATCATGATGGTTCTCTTTTCTAGGTTATGGAAAATAAAGAGAACTCTCTCTGTCTCCCAGATTTCTTAATTCCAGAGAGCCCTGGGGAGAGCAGCAGTTTTGTCCTGGTCAGCACTGCTTCCTTCTGCTTGATAAACACAGAAAAATTTCTCTGCTTTGTACTTTCTCTTCTTTGGTCTCTTGCCAAATCTTCCTTTGATGTTCATGCATTCCTTCCTAAAAAGATAACATCCATGATCGTTCACTGATTTTTCTCAATGCCCAGTTACACTTTCTTTGCAGGCCTCTAGGCCCTGAACTTTTGGAGTCTTACCTAGAAATACCTGTGTTTCAAGAGACTTTTGTAATAAATTTGTCTTTTTGATATGTTTATTTCACTAATTTTTAAGAGATAATATTCATTTTAGGATTTGTTGGACGCAGTCTAATTCTATAAATTATGCTGACAAATAACCCTAACCTTCAAATAATTATTTTTTCCAGAAAAATGTATGTTCTTTTCCCAAATAGAGGAAAAATGATATTCTTTTAAAACATACACTGTGCTTATGTCACTGGCAGGCTTTTGGGAATGAAGCCTTGAAACAAAAATGAGAAACAATTACTGAAGGGAATTGACATTATTCTCTGCCCAAGGATCAGTATAACGGTCTGTGTTTATCTTTGGAAAACTATGTAAACATCAACGCAGAAAGGCTTGGTCTCTGGGTGGGAGCAGCCAGTGCAAGATTGTACAGATGTCTGTGGATAATTTAAGGGTCCTCGGCCAGGAAGCCCGAGTTAGAAGAACGGGCAACAGAAAAGCAAAAATAGCAATAGGGTTACACAAAAAGAGTCTTGAGGTTTCTTTAACAAAGAGAAAGAAAGAGGAAACCGAACCACTGTGTGACCCAGCAATCCCATTACTTTGCATAGATAAAGATATCGGCATGTTGATGTTTATTGTCCACAGTAGCCAAGAGGTGGAAGCCACTGAGATGTCCACAGACAGATGAATGTGTAAAGAAATGTGGGATGTGTGCACAGTGGGGTCTTAGTCTTAACAAAGGAACTCATGCCATTTGCTGCAACGTGAATGGACCTTGAGGACGTTACGCTGAGTGAAATAAACCAGTCACAAAGGGCAAGTGCTATGAGATTCTCTTTCTGTGAGGAATCTGAAGTAGTCAAATCCTTAGACACAAAATAGAAAGATGGTTGCCAGGGACTGGCGCTGGAAAAATGACAAGGTATTGTTCAGTGGGCACAAAGTTTCAGTTTTGCAAAATGGAAAAGTTCTAGAGATTGGTAGCACAACAACGTGGAGACACTGCGCACTATTGAACGTGACATTCAGAAATGGTTCTGTTGGTGAGTTCTGTGTCATGCCTTTTTTAAGTCATAGTTTTAAAAAAGGAAGTTTGGATCACAAGGCTTTTCTTCAGTTACAGACCAATATCAGGACCCTCGTTTGGCCTCATCTGAGCCCTGCCTTGCCCTGCTGAACATCAGACCCGCCCCTGACTCTGCCCTCAGTTGGTAGAAAGCCTCTATCCCTGCTTCTCTGCTCACCCAGCTGGGCTTCTGGAGCACCTAGATTTTCTAAGGCTTGGAAGGAAAAGTGATGGAAAGGTAAAAGCGGGGCAGAAGCTTTGTTTACTGCAAATGAGGTACAAAAAGGTGCATTTACAGTCCATGGCAAATCTTGGCCCCATTTTCTTGTTGTCACCAGTAAATGAATCCTAGTGATGACCTTTGGGTGGGGACAATCTATGAAATCTGTGTGTACTGCACCTTCACCCATACTCCAGCAGGAACTGGCTGGATTCTGGAGAGCATATTACAGGGATGTGAAAATGGAGTGAGTCAACCAGGTGACCTTTAAAGTCTTTTCAACCCCAGAGATTCTATTATTCACCCCAAATCCATTTACCTTGTATTGTTATAAACATGGCCTTTGATGAAAGATGTCTCCGTTGACATTTTATATTTTTCTAAATGTCATACTTCTATCAATTATAGATGAAGTTTGTATTTATAGGTGTTATGATTTATCCAAAACAAGAGGGGTTTGGATGATTTTGAGATTTTGATTTATATGAAACTTTAACACTGGGTTGCAATAATAATTTCTCGTTTCTGGATTATCTTTTGACTCTGAAAGTGAAAAAGACCATAAACTGTATTTTGCAGTTAACAGATTTTAAGGCATATTACTAGATCCTTTGCTTTGGTGGTGGGGAAAACATATCTTCCCCACAATTTTACTTATTTTTCTTATCTGCACACTGTAATTTATTAACAAAGACTACACGAAGCTAATCCTCCCCAAATGTAATGCATCAAACACAGAGGCCAAACCACAACAATCTGTGTTATTCAAAGCAGATAATTTTCTGATAATGAAAATCACTTTATGGACCTTGTTAATTCTTCATCTGTTCCCATGGTAAAAATGGGTTTTACTTCCTTTCTATTGGCATCTAAGTAAGTAACTGAAATTTATATGATGCCGTATTTGCTGGAAGCCCCACCTGTAAGTCAGTACCCTGTCAGAAAATGTGCACATCATGTGCTTCTAAATGAATCTCTTTGTGTTTTAAGTTTCCTCATTCTATGCAAGTGGAAAAATGGATATTTTTAGCATTCATCAATAGCCTTGCATAGGGCACACAGGAAGTCACTGAGACTTTAGAACATTCAGCTCTATAATACTTATATCTGCAGTTTTATAGGTTAAGCAATGAATTCACAACATCAAACCCCAAGTACCTCTCTCAGCCCCATATTTGGTATTCACAAAATTAATTATGAAATGTTTAATGAAGTTGTTTGAAGCTATTTTAACTCCACAAAACTAACCTCAGGTAAAACATTTTCTTGAAAAGACTGTGGATTGCTTCCTCAGAGGGACCAGATCTGCTGCCTTACTGTGGTAACCTGGTACATGGGGAATGCTTTTGCTTGAGTCAGATTCTAATCTGCAGCACAGAGCAGAATTACTTGGAGAAACTGCAGGGAAGGGAGACAAATTAAAATATGTTTTCATTATGTGCGATGATGACTCAGTTTCAGCTGCTTCTTTAACACTTTTTCCCCTTGAATTGTATTCGGGCCAATATGGTTCATTTGTAGACCATTAAAAGTGTAATAAGAATTGCCCATTTAAAAAATAAAATAGGGAGAATACACGAAATGCCTGAAGATGATCTTGGAAGGTAATTTAACAGTGTATACCGCTGTTGCTCTCTTACAGAGTGGCAACATCACATCTCCGAGCCAGACTGCTGGGTCTGACTCTCAGCTCGACTTTTGCTATTCACGTGACGTGGGCTGTGTTACCTGAACTATTCGTGTCTTCGTTTCCCCTTCCATAAAACGGGGTGTAAAGCGTGCCTCATTCGCGGGGACACGGTGAGGATAAAATGACTGTGAAGCACAGCCCGTCACATTCAGTCCATTGGCAGAGTCACGATTTCTCAGTTTGGTTAAAGTTAACAAACCAAATGAGCCCTGCGGTTGTGACTACAGTCCAGACTCCACGAATGCGGAAAATGCTTCATTACATTAATGCAGATAAGCATAAGCGCCTCCAGTGAGCAAAATGCTACCCTAAGGAAAGACCACGGAGTCTAAGGCATAGCCCCAAAGGGTAGAAAAGACGCAGGTAGGTCCATGTTAAGCGGGAAGGAGAGGCAGAAGAGCTGCAGGAGACGCCTTGCGCCAGCCCTGAGGCCCCATGCTTCTCTGTTGTGGCCCTTAGCAGCTGCATCGTTACTGTCCTTCAAGGCTGTCACTTCCGGCTTTTAATAGGGCCTCTTTGTTTAATCCCCAGCACCTAGCACTGTTCCCAATGAACAGAAGGTGTTGGCTGAATAAAAGAATGCAGTAAGCATTTATGTATTTATTTATTTATTTTTGGCTTTTTTTAGACAGGGTCTCACTATGTAGTTGAGACTGACCTGGAACTCACTATGTAGCCCAGGCTGGTCTCGAACTCACAGCGATCCTCCTGCCTCAGCCTCCTGAGTGCTGGGATTACAGGCGTGCGCCACCACGCCTAGCTACTAAGCATTTAACAACAACAAAAAAAAGATAGATACAAAACATGAAGAAATGTGATTTGACATGGACATCAAACAGTGTGAGAATTTATATAACATTAGATCTACCAGCTGATGCCCAGGATGCTCAATTAAAGTAGAATTGTACATAAGCAACAAGTAATTTTTCAGTGTAAATATATCCTGTATAAATTTGAGACCTACTTGTTGAGACTAAAAATATGTTTATTGTTAAGTTAGAATTTTCAAATGAACAATGAATATTTTTCTGACATAAACATATTCACATACTACCTAGAATATGCTTGTACTAAAATTATTTGCCTGAGATGCAAACTTAATGGATGTCTTATATTTTTGTATCTTGTATTTTTGCCCACCTCGATAAAAAGAATAGAGAAAAGAAGAAATTTTAGGTTAAGGAAACAATAAGAGCAAACTCTGCAGGCATTTTGCTTTTAAGAGAATTGAGATTGAAGAAGTTAAAATGCCTGACCAGAGGATTAGGATGGGAACAGTATCTTAAATAATACCTCTTTTTCCTCACTGATACTCTTTAACAGAATGGCCCTTCCAGTTCCTGACCATCTTTCCCCAACCCTACCCTGTTCGTCCGTCCTCCAGCGGAGACGTGTGGCATGAGGCAGGGACACAGGGTGGCAGAGACACTTAGCCTTTCGGTCATTGAACCTATGTGGATGTCACTGCCTGTCATAATGGACAGGCCCGTGACTGTGCTCAGGAGAAACGTGAGTCACAACACGCTCATACTTGGACATTTCAAATGGCTTTATTGGAGCTCTTCAATGTGAACACTCATCGTATTTTCTTTAGACGGACTCAACTCTGGACTTTGACAGTTACTGTCTAAAACTGGTTGAGAGTCTTCCTGTGGCTCTTTTAATGGACTTACTTGACTTACTTATAAAACAGAGCCCCACCCAGCTCTTCCAATGTCAGTATTTTCTTCTGTCCTCCCTTCCTTCCTTTCTTTCCTCCTTTCTCCCTTCCTTCTTCTCTTCTCTCTCCTCTCCCTCCCTCCCTTCTTGCTTTCCTTCGTTCCCTCTCTCCCTTCCTTTATTCCTTTCTTCTTTATGTAGTTCAGTGATTTCATGCTTTTTAAATAACCCCAAAGGAAACAAAAAATATTAATGACTTTGCTTGCTATCCTGTTGTTTGTATTATGCACCTTATGTTCATCTTGATATGTGGGGCTAGTTGAAAAAACAAGACGACATTAGAACTGTGTCTTAAATTAGTTCTTTTGTTTTGTATTTAAAATATCAACTACAAAGACCTCGTGTCCACTTGTACTTTGGAATAATCCAACTTTTTCATTTCCTTCTTTCAACTTTTTGACTCGGAGGTATTTAAATAGCACAGGTCCAGGATGAAGAAACCAAAGAGACCAAAAACAAGTGTAAGAAGGAGAAAAAGATATGCATTTTGTCTCAACCTTCATAACTTCTTATCACGAAAGCTACTTTCATCGTTCTGTCTTTGTTAATTGTTTACAATGAAACAGGAGAAAAGACATTAAATTTCATGAGGTGCTTTCATGTGCTTCGGCTGCCTCAACACTAAACTACAGCCTGGGCAAGTTGGGAAGAAACTAAGCTTATGTCTCACTCTTCTAGAGGCTAGGAAGCGTTATCAGTGTACAGGCCTTTGGTGAGGACCTGCTTGTTATATATTAAGATGGTGAGGTAAAAGGACAGTTGAGCATATGCAAAAAAGAAAGCAGGAGGGGAAGACTCCTGCAATATTACCTCACTGCTGGATTCAGGCAATGGATGAGGGGTGCTCAGGACCCCGTTACCTCTTTGTAGTCCCCACTTCCTGATGCTGGCACACTGGGGCTCAAGTTTTTTTTTTTTTTTTTTTGGTACCTGAGATTGAACTTGGGTCCCTGTGCTTGCAAGGCAGGTGGCAGAACCATGGTGCTAAATCCCCGGCCCTGGAGCTCAAGTTTTTAACACATGAGTTTGAAGGCACATTCAAATCCCAGCAAGGATGAAAGTGTCTTAGAGATGAGCCAAAGGATAACTGAGCAGTATGGTCCCAAAGAGGGATAATGTAATCTGGCTTTCGAGATTTAAAAAAATTTCAGTGGTGCCATAACCTGGGTGAATTATACTAGTCAACTGAGAATGGTGTTTCAAGATGAAAGTAGTGGATATTTAGGCCAAACATGAGGAACTGGAGACTTTGTTAGAAAATAGTAAATTCCATGCCTGGGACTCCATTATCTCTGCCTTCCTCCCTGTCCCTCTCCCTCTCCCTCAGCTCTATATAAATATGTCTTTTTATATACAGGAACCCAGAGAGAGAGATGAGAGATTGGCACAGTCTGCTGAGAACATTCTTCATTACCAGTAATAAAAATTTAATACATCGTAAATTGATAATAGTAAAATCTGAAAAAATAAAATAAATATAAGGTAAATATAAAGGCATTTCTCCACAATGAAATTTTCAGCTCAAGTTTTAAAAAAGTATTTCATGAGGACTTCCAGGTTGCCAAGCTCTATTTTAGGCATGATACAGGGTATAATGACAGGCATTGCCCTCAAGGCAAACATAGTTTGATGGTGCAAAAAAGAAATCCAGTATGTGAAGAAATATAATATAGAGCAAAATGGAATAATGGCCTAAGGAGAGGCACACCACACTACTAAGACAAGTTTGATGGATACAAGATTGCATCTTCTTGTAGGTATGGGACAATACGGTGATTATGGTCATGGAGGAATTAGGATTTGATATAGAAAAAGAGCAAGAGTTGGAAGAGTAAGACCTAGTGGAAACAATATTGCAAATCTTCAAGAAAAGGAGTGCACACATGGTGTGTGTAGGCAATCAGAGGAGACAGGGCTTAAAGACTGGGATGGTGCCAAGGTTCTGAAGAGCCTCGAATGTTAGACTGTGGAGTTTCCACCTTGTGTGGTAGGCTGTAAGCGCAATGACCAAAACAATCCTGCATCAGTATGAAGGTGCTTTGGTTTAGGAGGAATTTAAATGTAAGAGAAAAAAGGCCGGATAGTATGGAGAATTCAAGATGGAGGTGAAGCATCTGAAGACGGTCAGTTGGAGTTGAGTGCGGACCAGGAGAACCAAGGGCATAAGTAGTGCATGGTCTGCTGCTACCTTTCAAAGACCTGGTTAGAGTGCAGATCGAGCACATCCAGTCCTTGCTCCCTGTGGGTTTCTGTCTGCTTCCTTGCCCTTCTGGACAGTTCTTCCATTCTGGCCTTTTACGGGCTTGCCCAGGAAAGACAAAGAGGAGTATAACGCATGCAAAGATCGCATGGCAGATTTTATTTCCACTGGATTATAATGAAAGCAACATTTAAACATATTATTTATCTCTCTTTTAGCCACAAAATGACAGAGGAAAGACTGAGCTCAAACAAGAGTAAACACACATCTCTCCTCCCCTGTCTAGTGCTCCCTCAAGGTTCTCCTCCCCAGCACATGCCATTGAGGAGTTGTCCCTGATTCCTGCTGTTTGCTTACCTTTAAGAAGGATGCTAAGAGGTGGCATTGGGGAGCAATTTTGCATGAAGTTACTCAAGATGGCCAGAAGAGATTGGAGCCAGAGGACAGATACAACCCCATAGGAACCTTGAAGAATGGAATCACAGAAAGAAAGAAGGAAGTTTAAGGTCAGGTGTCAGTTAAGGATGGTAAGTAATATCACTAATGAAAAGAACCAAATGAGGTAAGTATGTGTAGCACTGAGATTGCTGTAACATTGTCCTACTGGACAGCGGGGCTTTGGTTAATGATAGTAGCTAACACTTACTAAGCACTTGCTATATAATGTTGACATTTCAGTGTTGTAAACTGAAACTTTTTATGTCTGTGTGGTGGCGATATTGAATCTGGCATGGACCCACTCCAGTTCCGAATGGTTTCAATGTCTTAATAGATTCAATTATTCCACCAACCTTATAAGGTAGGATCTATTATTGTCATTTCATAGTGAACACTGTTAAGCGGAAGAGGAAGTAACTTGGGTAAGGTTACATGGACTGGGAGTAAAGCGAAAATTTAGTTTATAAAGAAAAATAGAAGAAAAGAAGTAAAGTACGAAGGTAGTCTAGGAAAATTAAAGCACAATAAAGCCAGTGTTTCAGGTTGAAGGTTATAGATATTCAGGCCAAAGTTACACATGAATGTTGTTATGGTTTGTTTTCAGATGTCCCCACAAAGCCTCATGCAGATGAGGTGGGACTTTCTTTTCAGAGGCAGGTGAATCTGGAGTGTGTGATGCTGGGGTTGAGGATGTGTGATTACTAAACCACTACATGTGAGTGATTAGTTTGGCCCCCGCCATAATTCTGGTCATCTGAACAAGATAAAAGGGGCAAAAAGATGCTGTTAAACTCTCTTGTTACCTTTGCTGTCTTGTGTGTGCCATGTTGTTTCTCCTGCGCACCATATGCCATCCCAGCCACGGAGCCAGCCAATCATGGACTGAAACCTCTATGAACTGTAAGCCAAATAAACCCCTTCCCCTCTAACTTTGGATGTTGGGTATTTTGTCTTAGCAATGAGAGAAAAGTAACTAACACAGATGTCATCTAGGCCCCCATTACATGAACATAAGTACAGGGTGCTTAAATTGGGTGCTGGTGACATTAAGATTCAGTCTTTAAAAGGATTTTTTTTTAAAAAAGAACAGCAGGCTCCAAAACTTTACAATTAGAGTAGGAAGTCTTTGGTGAAATTTGTTTAGCTTTGTTACTTTGTGGGCCCTGTTACTATGATTGAAATCATACAGATAGGAAGATATTTCTTTCCTCTCTGTGTTTCCCAACTTCTTGACTGCCTGCAGCTTTGCCAAGAGAGGAGACACATTTGTCTGTACAATGGATGGGCTCTCAATGACTGGGCCTTCGTTTGGCAGGACATTCAAGATCTAGGGCACATCAACCACAGGGGCCTTGTGCATCTGTCTGATCTAGCGCTGAAAGGGCAAAGTCCTCATTAAAGCAAAGGCTGCGGAAGAAGCCCCGTAACTAAACGCTCTTTGGCAGTTGCAAGCAGAGCAAGGAGGTAAACTGCTCCTCCAGGAATATAAAGTGATCCTTGTTGGTCTGGGAGAAGCAATTGTTGAATTGTTTTCTTGGTTCTCTGAAACCCAGTGTTGGATTCCCTCTCTGATAAGCCAGGCACTTTAAGCCAATTTCTTGAAGGCCAGGAGCAAATAGGATGGAAGTGGGAAGCAGAGTCAAGGTGTGGTCTGATATCCTTCCTCAGTGATCTGGGTAATGGTGTTTGTCCAGTGCACCTCTGTTTAGCACTGGCCTTGTGCAGAGTAGCTGTCTTTGCACAAATAAATGCCTTCCAGAAACTGGAGGTGAAGCCCAGTTGCTTCTGGAGAAGTCTATTTATCCTCTTCCATAATCTGAGAATAGACCCACCAAGCAAGCTGGGCCAGTTATTATGGTGCTGAGTCACCAGGCCAAGTTTCCAAGGATATCAAACTTGCATTATTCTTTCCCCCTGAGCAGAATACTGCCAGCCCCTTCTAAAGCCAGGACAATCTCTGACTGTTCCCTGGAGCATGGATCTTTTTGTCCCTGCTTCCTTTTCTCAGTGGAACTTTCTGTATGGCTGGCTGTTGTTCTACCTAGGGATGAGCACAATTTACTCATGTTATGATTTAGACTGAGAA